CCCCAAAACCCCAAAACCCCAAAACCCCATAACTTAAGATAATATTGCGTTGAGTAAATAATTATTATAATTTTTATTTTTGAATTTAAGTTAGAATTGATTCTAGTTTGGATGATTTGAATCACATATCATTCTTAGCCATTAACTTAAGTCCTCCAATGTAGTCTCCAGTAAGCTCATACTTAACTACTGTTGAGTCTTTGCCAGTATATTCCACAAGATAGCAAATAACAGCTCCTGTCTCAACTACTTTGTAGCAGTCAAGTAGCATCTAAGGGAATGGAAGTTAATGATACCAGCTCTAGAATATCTTATAGGCTCCTGGATTCTTGAGATTGACAAGAGTAATTCCCTCTTGATCTCTAAGCAATGCGAAAGGCATTTTCTCTATATCAAAACTTGGAATAAGTCTCATACACAAAGGTCTATCACTACCAGAAGGATTTTCAATAGTTTTAATACAAAGTCTTTGTTTTCTATCTATCAAATACACATTTAGATCCATATCGATGCATGTTGCTACTGAATCTCTTTTGTATTCGATAGCAGCTTTAATATCCTACTCTCTGAAATAAACTTCATTACTCAAGGTAAGTCTGTAGTCTCCTAGGTCAACAATATCAGCGAAGAAGAGTCCTCTACTGCAAGCCATAATGATTTCAGATTGCTTAAATGTCTTATTAACCTAGATAATATGGCTAGTGTCCTTGAGTGAGAAATTTTAGATTTTAGACAAATTGTTGGCTTGTAGAATTTGAATGTGTCCATCTCTTTAACCGCAAAGAATGGTGTTGTAATCTAATTAATGGAAACAGTAGACTATGTTTGTTGATTTGATGTCCTTGATTCTCTTTTAAGTGTCAACTTCAAAAACAAAAAGATTGTTATTAGCACAACCTACAAATACTTTGAGTCCTTGCATGAGGAAAGAGAAGACTGCATTATTATCTGTCTTAAGAGTTCCAATCAGACTCAAATCATCTTTTCTAAGGACATCGACATTGTTGTGATTACCGTCAACAAAGACATAATCCTATTGAGTCATAACAGCAAATGAGTATTTGCTTTAGACCTGGAACTTAGGGCCTTGGTTTACCCATGAGGCTTCCACCTTTCTATCAAATATATTCTATGCAACTCTCTAATAGGTCTCATACTGAGCTTCTTGGTTCTCTCCCTTATATTATTGTAAGTGTTATGGCATTTGGATAATTTAAGGCACCTCTTATTTCTGCTCAATCTTCTCAACAATTGATGCTGATTATTGAATCAAGAGCTTATTTTAATCTTGCATTTCTATTATTTTGTCTTGTTAGCTAAGAATTGTTATTAATTTATCCTTAAAACTTAGTATTTCATCTAGCCTAGCACTTGTATCCTAAGCTAATTACTGCACCACTTTCAATAATTCCTAATCTTTTTCATCGTTGTCCCCTCTGCTTTAGTGATGACTTTCAACTTTTTTATTTACTTACTAATCAATAATATTTGCCTTAACTGTGCTAATGTCTTCAGCTTACTTCCTAAGCATGTTTGTCACCATATCAAGTTTCTCAAGTTCAACAGATGATGAATCCTTTTTATCTTAGGACTTTGCATTCAAATCATTTTAAAGTTAGGTTAATCTTTTTTATTCTTCAACAAGCTCTTGGATTCTTTAGTCAATAGTATCAAGCCTCTCTGGCACTAAATTAAGTTGCTCTTGATTCTAATTTTAATGTTGAGGTTGTGATTCCTCTTCTTTAATTTTCTTTTAAGCATGATCATTTTGTAAAACTAAAGTCTTCACTGAATACTACATTTCCTTGAGTTAAGTTTATAGAGATCTGAAGAGTTAGTCATAGTTCTTGGGATCAGCAGTGGTCTCAGTTTATTACTGTTCTTCTCCTTGTTTTTACCCGAAGTTATCTCCATATTACTCTTGGAATATCTTTAGAGCATCTTCGTGCTCAACATGACCTAAGAGTATTTAGACTAAATCAGCAATCACTCTTTGTACTGCATTGTGCTCCTAGAGCTCCTTGTCTTGATGCTGAGAAAAAGACTTTTGAATAGTTTTCAGTTCTTTCACTTTTGTCTCAGTTATCACATGGAAAGTCTCTAAATCATCAATCGTCAGCTTCATGCTTGCATTCTTCTCTTCTACCATAATATCTTATTAATTACAATCATTATCAATAGTTTCTAGAATATTCAATTCAAATTACTAAATTCTTATTAATCTTACCACATGGGGTTTTGGGGTTTTGGGG